GTGGCCGTGGTTTGAGAAATACGTATCACGACAGGGCTAACTGGCCAAACCCTGCATCCAATACTCTCACCCCACGCCCTCATGCAAGGATTCTCAGGCAATCTAGAGTTCCAACACCACACCTTTATTGGATTCCATGATACCCACACCCGTCTGGAAACTTTACATGGCATGCACTTATTTTTAGTGAGATTACCAGATGAATTTTAAAAGAATTCCCAGATCCCCTGAGGAAGTTGCAAAGCTGGGGCTGCTGATCGCTGGTCTGATATTGCTTTGTGATGCAGGCATTGGAGTGAGCCACAAGAGACACACCAAAGCATCCAATCCTGAGGACCGATGTTCAGAATGACACTAGTCCCAAGTTCGTCACCCTCAGCCACCACTCTGGGTCGTTCCCCTTCTGGATCCTTGGTGGGGCTCAGGGAGCACAAGCAAATGGATTTTAAAACAGGCTCAAGAAATAAATAATGATTCAGTAGATGACACTAACTTGCACGGCAATTCCCAATGAGAATGACATTTCTGTTACGTAGTCCTATTGACTTTCCATGTGGACACACACCTGGTTCCTACCAAGAAAGACTGGCATGGTTTGGTAAGTCCACGTGGGCCACGTGAATGTCCTACTACAGACTAACAGCAGGGCTGGCCAAAGTTCTGCCTAACCAACACTCACAAAGTGCTCCCCCCTTAGGCGTGAACAGTTTAACCTAGAAACACCCAGCAAAGATGCAATCACAAAGTGAAAGGGGTAGTCACACCCCAAGTGAAGTTCATGATGGTTTGATTGGCAATGAACATTATTAGCCTCTCCCACTAATGTCAGGTAATAATTCACCAACCAACAGCAGCTAGAAAATACAATCCCTTAGCGCAGGGAAAGCAAGAGGCAGAGAAAGAAAGAGGACTCAGGCAGAAGTATTTAAGCAAAGAAATCATGTCCTTCTGAGGCAACATTAAGTCCCTGGTCTGCACTCAAGTACTAAACTAAAAGTTGGCAGTTCGAACCTACCCAGTGGTGCCTGGAAAAAAGGCCTGACAAATCGCTTCCATAAACATTACAGTCAAGAAAACCGTATGGAGCAGTTCTACTCTGTAAAACATGGAGTTGTCGTGAGTCAGAATCAACCCAATGGCAATGGGTTTGGTTTTCGGGTTTTGGAGGCAATTTTGACCCGGTGACCCCAACTATGGTCAAAGGCCTTCAGATTTATACAGACACCCTCAATAAAGCAATTCCAGACAGTGTCTGCCTTAAAATTTCTACCTGCAGTTGAAATGCTCAGGGTTATTCCTGAGTTCCTAGTTACTGGCCGAAGACAGTAGCATTTATAGGCCACATTTCTCACCAGCATGTGCCTGCAACACTCACCATGGGTGCCGGCTGCTAGTATTATCCATACAGACACACTGGAAAGCATAAAAGACATCCAAATTGGCACTTCCCTCACCTTCTCTTCCCCTGCCTGAGATGACGGTGCACTAGAGGAGTGAGAGTATGGTCATCAGATGCCAGGTTGCACACGACCGGGCCTCACTCCTTTCAAACAAAGGGAAAAGGCTGTAATTTTGAGGACAGCCCGTAGAGAGCTACAGCCTACCTCCTAGATGCCTGAAACCCGCAGCCAACTCCCTTACTCTCAGCAAACCCCCAAGCCCTTCCCGCCCACCTTCCCAGCCCGAGTCCCCTGTCACACTGCGAAGAGCTCCGGAAGGCTCTGGATCCACACGGGGATTATTGCAGGCTTGGAGAAGCCCCCTCTGTAATTATGGCTGCAGTGCAATTTCCATTCTTCTCACCCCCCGTTTCAGTAGCTCGAAGAACTTCCTGCTAAATCGTCCTGCAACCCCAGAGCTGCTCATGGCTGGGCCTCTGGCCAGAAGGTGAATTCGGTCCTGATAACCCTGGGAAAAGTCGGTCGGAAGAATTATAAGGGAAGGAGAGTGGAGTTTGGCAAGCCAGAGGTGGTGGGAAATTCTATTGTTTGGAGAAAGTCAATAAACGGGTCACTTTTGCTTTTTATTATTTCAAACAACAGACTGGGCGGCCCAGCCTTCCTTTCCCAACTCCGCTGTCTCCTGGGCTGGCTGTGCTGAGTCTGCAGGAGCCAAGACTGGGCTTGAGCTAAAGCATTAAAGGGCTGCCACTCCAAGCCCACGGAGCAGGAAGTTTGGCTGCCCCAGTGCCCGGCTCTCCCCAGGAGGCTGATGGCTCATTCCCTCCCTGACCCTTCTGCTCAAATCTCTCAAATGTTTCTGCCTCACCAACCACACTACTATTCTGGAAATTAAATGTAATGTCCCAGGTGGCTAAACAGAGCTGTGCGTATATAAACCCAGCCGAGTGCAGGATGGGAAGTACCAGCCCGCGTTTACGAAGCCCCCACCTTCTGGCCAGGTGCTGTCTGTCACAGCCTGGCTGGAGGGCACCTGGGGACACTTCAATATCAAGTTCTGTCCCCGCCTGCACCTGCCCATATGGGTTGTCACTGTGCGCTTTGTTGATCCCGGCCCCTGGAGGTGTCCTCATGCCCCGCCATGGAGAGGTGTTGCAGGCATCTTTCTCTCCCCATCAGAGGACAGCCATCCACAGGTGAGCAAGCCAGTGCCATCTGCTGCAGTCCACCCCGTGACCAGTAGAACAGCGTGTGTTTACAGGTTGAACGGCTGGGATTTAGGATGCAGCAATGGCCCAGAAATATGCCATTCCTTCCAAGAGAAAATAACTGTTCTGTCATGTGCACTGAACTCTCGATGTTTATTTAACTGACACCATATTCCAACCGGAGTCCCTGGGTGGTGCAAATAGTTAATGTGCTCAGCTACTAACCAAAAGGTTGGCAAGTTGAATGCCTCAGAAAAAAAGGCCTGGCAATCTACTTCCAGAAAAATCGGCCACTGAAAACCCTATGGAGCACAGCTCTTCTCTCACACACGAGGTCGCCATGAGTTGGAATGGACTCGTTGTCAACTGGGTCTTTTAATATTCCAACCAGCTCAGGCAATGGGAAAAGCAATCCTGAAACAGGGTTCACTCGATCTTGCCAATAATTCAATGCCCCTCTGGCACCTGGTAGGAAATTTGGGGGCAGGGATCTTGTAGCACACTGGAGTCGTTTATTTCTCCACTGCACTGAAATTGGGGCTCGCTGGGGAAAAGTTAAGGCACCGCCGGATTGCCTTGCTTGCTTATTTGCTCTCAGTGGTTCTGATTCACCCATTGGACCCGGCAATGCATGTCCACACACACTTCATTGTGTGAACTGTAGATGGTAACACCTTTGGTATTCAGATTTTGCAGCACACAGAACTGGTCAAATCGTAGTGAAGAATAGAGCAATTGGAATCACCAACAGAAATGTTCACCGGGTCCTGATCTAAAGCCGGTGCACCCCTCCCCTTGGTGCGTACCGAGTCTTCCTCTAGATGCAGTTGCAACAAGTGTGTTCCTCGCCTACTTAACGCCGGGAGCCACGGACTGAGGGAGGAGGAAGGGCACTGAAGGGGACTGGGATGGCTGGCAGCACCTAGGAATGATGAGTGACAACGTGCGCGAAAGGCAGGCTGCAAGGAGCTGACACAGGAGCTGGGTACAGACCACACACCTGAGCCTCGCAGCACCTTCCCTGGGCGTCCATAAATTCAGCTCGGGATACGGGTAATAATCACAACAAGGAGGCCAGGGCAACAAGAAAGGGTCAATTATGTTTAATATATTCTCCGCAGAAAGGCAGGGAACTGTGTAATATATTTCTGAAAGATGTACAGACGGTGGTTAAATTATTTTTTTCATTTCGACACTTAAGGCAGCATGCTAAAGTCAGGTTATTACCTCTTCCCGGTCAATCCTGGGGGGTTGTGCGGTGCACGCGTCATCCTTCATCAATGTACGTATCTTTTCCAGAAATTACCCATGTAACTACTCCCCACACACATCCCCACCGCTCAGCCTCACGTTCCAGACCTGCTCCACAGAGAGGGAAAATTCAGTCAAGAAACGAATAGCTACAGCTCTCTCAGTCTGCAGAGAACATTTCCCTTTGAACATCTGAAGCTACGGTCCAGAAAGTCAGCAGAGAAGAAAGAGGGATCGAGGCTCTGTCTCAGATCAGGCAAGGCCTCTTTACTGAGTCTGGATCACCATAAGAAGTCCAAAGGAGTTCTAAACAAGATAAGCACAAGCTTCACCTGCGTATCACCAGTATTTTCCTGGGAACAGTCCAAAGGGCAATTTGAGCCAACGGGAAACAGGACTTGCCGCCTAGAGCCTTAGAAAGACCCTTAATCCAATCAAGAAGGCACGAATGGGGCCGGCTCCCCCTCACCCCGATGCAGCCCAAGCAAAGGCATGCAGGGAACATTCCCAGATGGAGGGGACTCCTGCCACTGCTGATGGGCCAAGGCCACTCAATGCCCGTGAACCTGCAAGCTTCCGGGGGACGAGGAGGAAAAGGCAGGTCCCCATCACACCATTCCTCCCACTTCAAGCAATTTCTCTGCTCCCACGGCAAACATGGTTTCTTTATCCCACAGTCTGGCTTACAGCCCCACTAGCAACTCTAACAGTTCCTGTACTTTTCTCCATCTGGTCCCTGAATGGATTCCAGATGGAAGCAACACCCAGGAAGACTGGAGCCCAGCCCAAGGACCATGCCCAGCCCCCTCCCCAAGCACCTAGGTCTAATAGCGCCCTTTCCTTGGGGCATAAACCCATGTCAGAAAGGTACAAGCCTCACTAGAATTACTGAGGAATTCTCGCCTGGGCTAACACCTCTCATGCACACACCAGCTCCAGGTGAACCCACATCTCACCCAGTCTGATTTCCCCTGACAACTTTGGTACGAAGGCAGAGAAGGCGCAAGGTTATCATTCACGACCTCAACAACAACACCTGTATCACCAGCCCACCAGGCCCAAGGTAACAAAAGAGACGCAGGTGAGATCATCCCCACCCAGTCATCTGCACAATGACCCAATGATGGCACCTTGGTCCTACCTTCTTCAGCTTGCCGCTCTTGGTGCCCACGAAGGCCAGGGAGTGATTCTTGTAGACATAGGCAATGACAGAAGTCATGCGGTCACTGTCCTCAGTGAAGACAGGGATGCCCCGTACCATCTCAGACACACCCAGCGGGGCATTCATGTCCAGGCCACAGAAGTTGTCATCAATGGTCAAGAGCTGAAAATAAAACAGGGGGAAAGTTAGAGGAAGCATCAGGGCAATTGGCAAAGGTACTGACTTAGAGGACTATAGAGCTAGAAGAATCCTTAGAGATGGGTCGTCTAGTACAAATTCCTACTTTTTTATGTGAAAACCCAGCTCTGGAGAAATTAGATGACCTGTCAACCGTGGCCTAAGTAGGGAGTTGCAGGACTATGACAAAAACACAGATCTCTAGGGTCTCTTTTCACCATATTCCACAGTCTTTCTGCCCCTCCTCCAACCCTGTCAGGTACCATCCTGGTAGCATAGATTGTCCATCATCATTGTCACTATGGAAAAGCACAGCCAGCACTCCCCTACCCCCTGCCATGGACTCCAGACAGGTCTGCTCCAGTGAAAGAGGGGAGTGGTCTTCACCTCTGCAAACTTACAGGTGAGCAGACACACCAATGAGGACTCAACAGTGTAGAACAGTGAACTAGACCCATTAGTATCTGAATAACAACATCAGGGGGGGCAGTGGTGGTTCAGTGGTAGAACACTCAAGTCCCATGTTGGAGACTCGGGTTTGATTCCCAGCTGATGCACCTCATGCGCAGCCACCACCCGTCTGTCAGTGGAGGCTTGCATGTTGCTATGATGCTGAACAGGTTTCAGCAGAGCTTCCAGACCAAGACAGACTAGGAGGAAAGGCCTGGCATTCCACTTCTGAAATCCAGCCAATGACAGCCCTACGGATTACAATGTGCATTTCATTCTGTAGTGCATGGGGTTGCCATGAGTCAGAGGCCAACTCAACGGCAACCAACAACACATCAGGGCGGGGATCTGCACAGACCCGCTGGAGGAAAAGAGCGGTGGGAGAAGAGGGCAGTCCACAGCTCCACCCAGTCAGCCGCAGCCGACCGTCACTCTCCCGACCTCAGGCTCCCTTGTCTTTTAGAGCATGACAAAGAGGGGGCAGCGCGGGCCTGGCCACAGCTACACCAGCATTTCCCACGTGTCTTCTGTGGGACCCAAGCCCTCTGAGATGCTCACCATAAAAGGGCTCCTGGGGTAAATGATTCGGGGGAAACCTAGCACATTCTAACACCAGCTAAAAGAACCGTAATGATTAGTCACATGAAAGGCCTCCGAAGTCTTTTTAGGTGGAAATATGTTCAACATTATCTCAGCCTTTTCCAATTCTTATATTCCCCAAACCATTTTCCACCGAAACACCTATTAACATCCCTTAAAAAGGAATATTCCCCGGATGCTCATGGACACACTGATCCAACCCTTGCTCCTGACTCCAGGATGTAAATCTCAGGAGTCAGGTCACTAAGGAGCCCCAGCCAGTTTACCTTAGAGCTTCTGGCTGAATCTCTCCCTGTCTTAATCTACACCTCCAAACGCCATCTCAGCAGAGGGTCACACTGGGTCCTGCAGTCCTGGGGAAGGGCGCCGACCCCAGCAGTGGCTAGAGAGTAGCCCCGTGCCCCACCAGGCAGCCTTACTTTGGCACAGACCATCGGAGGCTTCCAGAACTTCTACTGGACTCCCCACTCTTTCTTGGAAGCACTAAGTGGCCTGGGAATAGTTCCTCAGTCTTCCTGCGCTTTTATTTGCCACTCTATAAAGATGAAAGAAACAATCCCTGCTTTTTGATGGGCTACCATAAAGTCTATTGAGCTCATGCCTGTAAATGTCTTTGGACTGTCCAGAGAAAGGAGTGAAATAAAATGCAAGGTGTCACTTTTTTACAGGCTTCAGTCCAGCCAGAGGAGACGCATCTGGAGAGCACAGGCAGGTCTTGCCAGCAGGACTGTGTGAAAGTGGCCAACTCGGAGCTTTCCGGAGCCTCGGGGGGCTCCCTCACTCCTGCCCAGAAGGGGGGCAGGCATTGTCCATTTCAGTGAGCCCAGGGTGCTGGCATCTAAAGGCTCTCGCTCTGACCTCTCCTCTCCCTCCCCACACGACGGGGAAGGCGGGAAGGGAGGGGGGCCCGTAGGCAGGCGGGGCAGGCCAGTTACACAGCAGATGTCCCTGGCCTCTCTTGCATGATGTGGCCTAACAGCCCGGACCAAACTCCAAACCAAACCAAACCCACAGCCACTGAGTTGATTCCAACTCATACCAACCCTATAGGACACGGCAGAACTGCCCCATCGGGGTTCCAAGGCTGTAAACCTTTAAGGAAGCAGACTGCCACATCTTTCTCCTGCAGAGCAGCTGGTGTGCTTGAACCACTGCTCCACCAGGGCTCCTAGACCAAACTCAATCCCCTATAAAACCTATAGGAGTCAAATTTAACTAGCAGTTGTCATCAAGTCGATTCTGACTCATGGTGACCCCATGTGTGTCTGAGTAGAACTGTGCTTCATAGGGTTACTTTGAGAACTAAGTTTTAAAAAACTCCCATCATCACGGAAAGGACTCCATTTATGGGTCCCTTTTCCCTAGGGCCCACCCACTTGTCTTAGAGTGACTCCAACTTATGGTGACCCCTGTTCATCAGAGTAGAACTGCACTCCATCGGGTTTTTTTTTTTTAATTTTTTTATTATACTTTAGATGAAGGTTTACAGAATAGTTTCTAATTAAACAGTCAGTACACATATTGTTCTATGACATTGGTTAATAACCCCACAACATGTCAACACTCTCCCTTCTTGACCTTGGAGGACCCTTTTTTTTTTTTGGTGAAAATATACATAGCCAAAGTTACAACATTTCAAAAGTGTCTACATGTACAATTCAGTGACATCGATTACATTCTTCCAGTTGCGCTGCTATTCTCACTATCCTTTTCCAAATTATGCCATCACCATTATCTTCAACTCATTGTCCCCTAGGCTTCCCATCAGACCTTTTGAGTTGCTGTTGTCAATTTTATCTCACATAGATAATTCCTTTTATTTTTTTAACCTTAAATGAAGGTTTGCAGAACAAATAGTTCTCATTAAACAGTTAGTATACATATTGCCCTATGACAATGGTTAACAACCCCATGACATGTCAACAGTGTCCCTTCTCAACTTTGGGTTCCCTATCACCAGCTTTCCTGTCCCCTCCTGCCTTCTAGTCCTTGTCGCTGGACTGCTGTGCCTCATTAGTCCTGTTTTGTTTTATGAGGCTGTCCAATCCCCAGCTGAACGGTGAACTTCAGGAGGGGCTTCACCACTGGGCTAAAAGGGTGCCTGGGACCATACTCATGGGGTTTCTCCAGTCTGTCAGGCCACTAAATCTGGTCTTTTTTTGTGAGTTAGAATTCTCTTCTACATCCTTTTCCAGCTCTGTCCAAGACCCTCTATTGTGATCCCGGTCAGAGCAGTCAGTGGTGTTAGCTGGGCACCATCTAGTTGTACTGGACTCAGTCTGGTGGAGGCCTTGGTAGCTGTGGTCCATTAGTCCTTTGGACTAATCTTTCCTTGTATCTTGTTGTCTTCACTCTCCCTTGCTCCCAAAGGGGTGAGACCAGTGGAGTATCTTAGATGGCTGCTCACAGGCTTTTAAGACCCTAGATGCTACTCACCAAGGTAGAATATAGAACGTTGTCTTTATAAACTGTGTTATGCCAATTGAGCTAGATGTTCCCTGAGACCATGGCCCCCACAGCCCCCTGCCCAGCAATTGAGTCCCTCGGGGAGTTTGAAAGTGTCTTTGGCGCTTCCATGACCTTTCCTTGTACAAGTTGTGCTGGCTTCCCCAGTAATGTGTACTGTCTTACCCTTCACCAAAGTTACCCCTTATCCATTTAGTTCCCCCCGACTCCTCCCACCCCTCATAGCCAACAAAGATTGTTTCTTTTTGTGTGTAAACTTTTTCATGAGTTATACAGTAGAGGTCTCATTCCATTTTGTCCTTTTGTGATTGACTTATTTCACTCAGCATAAAGTCCTCCCGTTTTGTTCCTCTTACTCTCCTGTGCTGAGTTCTTTTTGTTTGTGGATTTTTTTTTTTCATTTCTTTTGTTTTTGTAGGTTTTGTTTTTACTGAGACTTTATGTTTTTCTTC